GGGGATTGAACCGCGGTCCCTGTGCTTTGCCAAGCTTGTTCTAAGTAGGTGCTTTAGACCACTGAGCCATCTCACCAGTCCCCTTGTTTTGTTTTTTGTACCAGGAATCAAACTCAGGACCTTGTGCCTGCCAGGCAGGTGCTATGCTGCTGAGCTGTATGCCCAGCACCCCAGGATCTTTTACTAGTGTTTTTTTTTTTTTTTTTTCTCTTCCTCAGCCTCTGGCCAGTCTTGGAAGTTAAATGACTTCTATAAGTAGTTTGATAGCAGCATTGGGATGAGGGTCTCCTTCAGCTAACTTCTACGTCAGTGATCTTTCCTTTGCTTATACAGATCTGTGGGATCCTTAAGGTCCCATTAGATGGGGGCTTATGGGTTAGCTCAGTTGTTTCAAGCACCTGCTTGGGCACACTCAGTCAGGCTTGAGGGACCGCAGTTCAATCCCCAGCTCCATGAGCACACCAGACCTGCCCTTAAGGCAGCCTGAACTAGCCAAAAAAAAACAAAAACAAAAAAAAAATTCTAAAGTTCCCCTTAGATTTGAGTGTCCAGAGCAGAGGTCACCTTGGGCAGCATCTGGGCTAGTAACTTAGCTTACCAGGCCAGGTGGTTGGAGCCCTGGCTTCTAAGGGCGCAGCGTGCTCTGTGCCTGGTCTGTAGTTGAGAGAACACTGCTTCCCACAGGATGACACCTCAGTGCAGGAGCTGTAGCCCTGTTCCTTGGCAGGTGTCCGCTGTAAGCGATTGTTGGGTGTCTCAGCTGCTGCTGGTGGTCCATCAGGACAGAAGGCATGGATCCCAGGCTGCTCTTTGGGAACAGTATTTAAAAGGAGCCTTGATTTTTTTAAACTGTCTTTAAGGAATGTTGATTTTACTTTTTTTTATTATTTTTGTACTTTTGTGACATCGCTCTTATTGTCTTTCTCTTAAAAGTGGTTGGAACCCCTATATGTCAGCTGGGCTCACCTTCACTTTAAATGGATCGGCTGCCTGAGGTCACCTACTGGCCTGGGTCTATCCCATCCCTAGTGCTCTGGTGACATTGAAGGTAACTTCCAAGCACCGGAATGTGGAGGTGCAGGCCCAGTCTTTGGTGCCCTCCAGCCCCTGGTGGCCAACCTGTGCCAACTCCTGGGTTGGGCACCAAACACTTGGGTGTAGATCCCCAGGGAAGAGAGCAAGCAGGCTCTACAGGAGATGATTTTAAGTGCTGTCCATGGAGTTTCCAGGTGGTGGAGGCCAAGTCTTCCTTTAACAGTGGTGTGGGTGAAGAGGTCTGCTGTGTTTCTGTGCCTGTTTCCTGCACCTGCTTTCCTCTGAGATGTGTTGTTCTTTTTTTTTTTTTTTTACAAGATTCTTTTCCTCTTCTTAAATCCAAAAGAGTAACTTTCTTTTTTTTTTTTTTTGGTACTGGGGATCAAACTCAGGACCTTGCACTTGCTAGGCAAGTGCTTATGCCACTGAGCTGTCTCCTCAGCTGTTGTTCTTTAATGGCTGTCTTGCCCCCTCCCCCAAAAAAGAACCTGAAAAGTAAAAGAAAGGGGGAAAAAAGTTTCTTTATTGTGAAATGAACTGTATGGCTTATTCACATTGTTTTTAATTCTTAATAAACTCTTGAGCTTTGTTTAAAAAGACTAAAAATTAAGAAAAATAAAAAGGGGCCCTGAAGCTCTCCCTGCTATTCTGGGGCTTGTTCTCACCTTCTAGTACGGGAGGCCAGTATTGGGTAGGGGGCTGAGAACAGGGTGAGACAACAGAAGGGTCTTCTCAAGGGTTCTCCCGCCACAGCAGGATGCTTCCTGGAGCCTTGCCCCGCCCTTCCCTGTAGTTTTTTGGTGGCTGCTGGCTGTAGCTGTTGGCAAAACCTGGCCTTGTGCCGTGGCTGTATCTGACTTGGCCATCATGAACCTCACCGGTGCCTGTCTGGCTTGACATAGCCCTGACTGCCAAGGGTGGGCATTCTTGGACCCTGTGGAAGAAAACCCCTTGCGCATTCCTGGAAGCAAACTGAGGACAGCATCCTTGCCCTGCCGGTGTTGGAGATGGTGTGCCCAGGACTGCCTGTCCCTGAACGAAGGGGCAGCAGTACAGGTGGTGCAGCTTTTTGGGATAGATCATGTAGGTAGCGTGGTGGAGATGGTGTCATATAGTATCTGACATGTATGTGGGTTTTTTTTAAACTGGGGATTGAACTCAAACCCTTGCTACTCAATTACTGAGAGATTCTAGCCCTGGGTATAAATTGCTGAATTGTTATGGTGGTCATCTTACATCGCTGAAGCCTCAAAACAACAAACTGCATATCTTCCCAGTGACCACGACCTCCATCCCCACCCCAGCCCTGGATACAACTTTCTCTTACCTTTCCCAAGCACAGACCCCCAGTCAGCCTCTCATGTGTCACTGAGCCTGTTCTTCAAGCTCCACCCCTAGCAAAACTCCATAAAAATCGCAGATCCCCTGTGTCTCAAGTCAGAGGGTCCCTGCTATCTTCCTGCAGTCCTGTCTGTCAGTGTCCTCAGTAAAGGCCTTTCTGGGCTGGGGAGAGAGCTTAGTGGTCTAAGCACTTGCCTGGCAAAGTGGAAGGACCCAAGTTCAATCCCTGGTACACCATGCTGTGCTGGCCCCGGAACCCCAACAGTGGTGGTGCACAACTGTAATCCCAGTGCGGGGGAGGCTGAGACAGGAGAATCCCTACGAGTCCAAGCTGTGTAGCGAGATACTATATGAAAACAAAAAAACCTTTCTTTTGTCTCTGCACATGGAAAAAACCTAACAATTATTATGCTGCTGAGTTATATCTCTCTCTAGTCCTTTTGAGACAAGGTCATGCTAAATTGCTTAGGTTGGCCTCAAACTTGTGATCTTCCTGCCCTAACCTCTAAATAGCTGGGATTACAGGCATATGCTACTGACCTGGGCTTCAGGGCTGGAATCCAGGACCTCAGGCATACTAGGCAAATGCTGTTCCACTAAGGAACATCCCTCGCCTCAGTACTATTTTTTTTTTTTTAATGTATTTGCCTTGATTGTTTTTGGTCTTTTTTGATTTTACCGTATTTTTTTGGTTGAACTGTTTTTTAGGGGAGGTTTATGTTTTGTTTTTGGTGCCAAGGACCGAACCCAGGGCTTCCAGCTTGCTATGCAAGCATTCTACCACTGAGCCAAATCCCCAGCCCCTTTTTAAATGTATTTAGTACAGGGTCTACAGGGTCTTACTACAGAGATCAGACTCCCAAGGG